TTTAAAAATGTATATTGTGAACTCTAGGGTGACCACTAAAAATATTGTTTTAAGTTAAAAAAATAAAAACACCACTTTATAGGCACAGCTAGCTTCACACCCTGAAATGCTAGCATGCAGAGCTGAGAATGTGGGGTGCAACTGACACAGGGAGCAAAGGGAAGCGCTGGGAAGGGCAGAGACACTGCCCAACACTGGCAGGAAACACAGGGGAAGGTCACTGAGCACCCGCTTAACAGAAGGAGCACACACACACACACACACACACACTCAACTGCCCAGCTCATTAGGGAGATGTGTGCTCAGCCAGGACGCATCTTACTAGTCAGACAAAGGTCACGTTGAAAAAGCAAACAGATGGCAGCTTCCAACATGCTCCCTTTGTTTGGTTCCAAGCGTGCTGACATCTGAGGACAGAAATGTGGGGTGCTGGTCAGGAGCAGGCTGCTCTCACCCCCTAATCACAGTGGCTAAGTAAATACTGAAAGGAGGCGACACTGGAACCCGCAGTCCAAAGCAGAGACTGCATTATTTAGCCGGAGGTTGCCCTAACGCATTAGTAGGGCCAGAAAGGAGGAAATGATGAGTTACAGCCTCATAGAAAACCTTGAATCCTCCCAACAAGGTGAGGAAGCCTGGAGGAATGAGACAGAGGACAAAACCAGGAGTTAATTTTAGCAGTTTCGTGTCCATTTGATAAAATAAGAAGCAACATTTGCAACGTGATAAAGAATGTTGAAGCCCCGGGAATGTCCTCTGAACCGTGAAGGTTTTGAATCATTTTCAAAGAAAAATACGCCCAAGATCATTCGGTTTCTCATGCCGTTTTCTTTTGCCTTTCTTTCTCTCTCTTGCCTTGGAAACTCAAAGCTTCTCCCCTTAGGGACTGGGACGCTCCCTAGGGCTCTTTCTGTTTCTCAAGAAAAGCAAATGAAAACTGCTGCTCTGCTCACTGGGGGGAGGGTGGGGGGTGGGGATGCTGTTTTTCTGTGGAGCAAAACAAATGCCAAGGTCACCTGCTGTCTGTCAATACTTAGTTCAGCTCTTAAAGATATGTGAATATTTGGTGGTGATTTTTGTGGTCTCCTATGATGACAGATTTTGTCCAAAGGGACAACAACCCCCCCCCAATTACATAATCAGAGCTGCAGCTGTCATTATTCCCAGTTCCCTTAGAGTCTTCAAATCTGGGAATGAGGCTAATTTCTCAGAAGTGGCAGCACCCCAGGCCCACCCTGGTCCTCAGCTGGCTGTGGTGTCTAAGGCAGCCGGTCGGCAGCTGAGGACTCCTCTGTTCCTGGGCACTGGCTCCAGCCACCAGGCTCTGCTGCTGCTGCCTCTGACGAAAATGCCACTGGACACCTGTGTGAAGTTGTCAATGGGCTTAGTCCAAAACCCAGAGTTCGACACAAACCAGCCCAGAGAACACACAGCTTCTGCGTGTTCACAGCTGATCTCAACCTGCTCCGAGCCTCCCTCCACTGAACAGCAGCAGGGGAAACCCCGAGCCTGCAGGGGCTCCGGTCACCTTGGTGCTAGCAGTGCTCTGCTACTCAGTGGCCCCTGTAGCTGGGTGGCTGGTGCGGCTTAATGCCCAGGCCCTGGCACCACACCAAGGGGGCCACTTGAGGTGGGGTTCCTCTTACTCCCCGCTGACCTAGCCTCAGCTTTCCCTAGCATGGCAGAGACCAGGAGGGACCATCAGTGCTACGAAGAGCTAAGGCCGTGACCCACCCCCCGCCTCCTGAGGAAGCTGCTCCCTCACGGCATCTCATCCTTATGGCTGGCTCACCTCATCCCTTATACTCAGGACCCATGGTCTGCCCCACAGACCCAACACAGCCCCCTTCTCCACCCTTCACAGGGCAGGGGAGACCCTCTGGAGCCTTCTGAACACACAGGATGGTGCTTGTGAGCGCTGGCACAAGCCTCCTGGTGCCTGACCTTGTCCCACCTCTCCTTGCTATGCTGCAGCAGCCTTATGGAGACCCGGAGCTGTCCTGCACAGCTGAGACCAGAGCACAGGCCCCCACAGCTCTCAGGTTTCCCTTAACCCAGCCTCCGCCACCAAGGGTCCTGGCTGGAGGGGAGCCCGAGCACACAGGCAAGGCCTCAGGCTTCCCTCCCCCATCTCCCTGCTCCTTCCCGCTGAGTCCCCCTGGCTTTTACTTTCCTGGGCTGTCATCCTTCTTTACCCCTCTTCCCACCTCTTCCCTAGGGCCAATGGAGGCCTGGCAACAAACTAGACTGCCAGGGAAGGGGAAGCAAACACACACCTGCCTATGCCCTTGGGGTCTGCTCCCCCGAGGGCCTGCTGCGCCCGCTCTCTGGCGAGCTCTGGGTGACTGCCAACAGTACCATCTGCCCCAAGTTCCATGCTACCCAAGCTGCACTACCCTGAGAAGAAAATATTAATAAATATGAGTTTTTAAAATTTCATTAGCTTGAGAGAAGCAAGAAGACCATACGTACAAGTCCATGAGAAATGTGCCCTCTCAAACTGTCACCTCCTGCTCTTCTGAGTGTGCTGATTCCTTCTGTGAGTACAAGCTCGGTGGGAGACGCTGTCACACTCAGGTTCTGTCCATTCCTCTCCCTAGGGGCCCTCAGGTGTTTTTCTTGCCCAAAGAAATAGCAAAACTGCCCCAAGGCTGCCTAGGGGCCACAGAAACTTATATCTACCTACATTCTCTTCCAGAATTATTCTGAGGCCAAAACTAAAGCGAATGGAAGGCTTTAAGTTGATACATTTTACACTGATTCAAAAAGTAACAGAATTCAATACCCTTGCTAGATTAAAGCAAAGCTTTCAAAGCACCGATTAGATAAAGCAAAAATCAAGACAGTAAATTTATAAAATATATTAGCAGATTAATAATACAATCCAGGAATGAATTAGCTAGGTGACAGAATTTGAACGCTGTTTTGAAAATACAAAGCTCCAAGGCACACTGGAGTTTAGGCCTCTGTGTGTACATATTCGGGCAGATAACTGGGTTTGGACTGAGGCATAAGCACTTAGATGTTGATCCCTCTCCCATTCACCGAGTTCATCATGGAAGTTGGAGCACTCAAGCTGTTGTTAGCTAGTGAAACTTCAGTTTTCAATTCATTGAGGAGAAGGCTACTATGTGAAGTCCTGGACAGAACTGGAGGGAGAGACACAGTGCCAAGCCTGGGTGGGGTCTACAGAGAAAAAGCATTAAGGCTGAATAGCTGCCCTCAGCCACAGGAGTGGAAACTGGAGTGTCCAGTCTGGGTTCCGCTTCTGAAGCAGTAATAACCCCTGTTAAAACTCGATCTAACAAATGTTGGTCCCTGTACCCTTCATTCAGGGGACAGGAGTAGGTGCTGGGGTGTTCCTCCACTGTGCCCCACCCCACAGGCCAGGTAAGCTGAGATGACACAGCACATGAATGTGGGGCGAGGAAATCAGCCTGCCCCTTCTCTGCTGGCCTGCTGGGGCCAGTCCTCATGGTGACTTCCCCCTACCTTTCACAAAAGCACCATTGAAGAAGATGAGTTTTCCCTCCCAATAGAAGAAAAACCAAGAAAGCCAAAATCACATACTTAATAACTTGTTCACTGCCACATGAAATTAGCAGGATGGAAATAAAAACTTGATGAGTTTCTGAGTTACTGTTCAACTCAATCAGCATAATTGAAAAACTAGCTTATAGGTCATTCTGTGTACTTTCTTTTTCTTTTTTTTTTTTGAGACAGAGCCTCAAGCTGTCCCCCTGGGTAGAGTGCCGTGGCATCTCAGCTCACAGCAACCTCCAACTCCTGGGCTCAAGCGAGTCTCCTGCCTCTGCCTCCCAAGTAGCTGGGACCACAGGCACCTGCCACAACACCCGGCTATTTTTTGGTTGTAGCCGTCATTGTTGTTTGGTGGGCCCGGGCTGGATTCGAACCTGCCACCTTGGGTGTAAGTGGCTGGTGCCTTAGCCACTTGAGCTACACGCGCTGAGCCTCTGTGTACTTTCTTTACCACCTTTGCACCCCTTTGGATTATGGATTTCTGGAAGGATTATAAATCATAAACATCACAGCACAAGTCACAATTGCAAAGATATGGAATCAAGCTAAATGCCCATCAGTGCATGAGTGGAAACAGAAAATGAGATCCATACACACCACGGAGTTCTACCCAGCCCCCAGAGGAATGAAATAATGTCATTATAGAACTGGAGACCATTATTCTAAGTGAAGTATGTCAGGAATGGAAACACAAATGCCAGTGAATGTGGGAGCCAAATGATGGGTACACATGGCACAGAAAGACAGAAAGACACTGGTAACTGAGAAGGGAAGGGTGGCAGGGCAGGAATAAGCGCTTAACACCTGGGTACAACAAACACTGTCCTGGGGTGGGCACTCAAGGCCCTGACTTCAGCATTACAGAGCTACCCCTCTAACAAAAACGTTGATACCCTCTTAGCATTGTGGTGGGGAAAAAACCTAAATGCACTGTATGATCACAGATAGGATCAGGGAAGATAAAAAGGACATTCGTGGAAAAGATGATGAATTTCAAGCAAATTCTACAGTTAATAATATTGTTGATTTCCTACTTTTAATCACTGTATGATGGTTATATAAGATGTTAACCTTGAGGAAGTAGGGTGGGGGATAGAAGGGAACGCCTTCTACTGTTTTTGTGACCTTTAAGTATAAAATTAATTCTAAAACAGAAACAATTTTTAAATAAATGAATAAATAATCAAAAGCAGCAGCTGTGGACTGACACCGGCCCTAAGGAAGGTGGTACACAGAGGACTGCCCTGCCCCTGGGGGGATGTCTCAGGACTGGGGTGCATCACCCTCTCACAGCTCAATGGGTCCAACACGTCTCACTTGCTCACTTTTCTCTCCATCCGGGAAGGTAGATTTAAGGAAGCTGTGGATGAACGTCCATGAAATGAATCCTGCCTCAGCAGCCATTCTATTCTCGATTCATTGTTGCTTCCTCAGAACATCCAGGCTGGGGAAGCTCCTACCTGAATTCCAGCACCCGAGCCTACGGTTCCCGTTCAGAGGACACGTCGCCCTCGGCCCCGCTGCTGGCACTGCGGTCTTCTTTTCGGGGAGTGTTTCTTTCTTTGCTCGATTCAGAAGGACCCTTGGCTCTGGTCTTTTCTTTCCTTTGCTGCTGTTTTTCAAGCTTTGACAGCTGATTAAATAAAAAGAAAAAATTTATTTTAAAAACATGAATGAATGCTTGTATATCCAACATACCAGTGACCTCCCAGGTGGGAACCTTTGAATAGCTTTCCTCAGAAAATGTGGCATACCAGGGTGGTTGAGAGGTACCAAATGATACACAAACGTTTATCATTAAAACGGATTAGTCACATGTGTAATCACTGCCAGATTCTCCCCACCCATAATCCAACTTGGCCCCAGGTACACAGGAAGGGCCAGGAGACAGCTTCTCCAACAGGCCCGGAGGAGCCACTCAGGCTGCAGGCTTAGAGTCTTACTTTTTTCTTTGATGGCTCTGTAGCTTTTTCCTCACCAACCTTACTACTGTTAGGTCTACTTACTGTTTTCTAAAATGTGTTCAAAACACTCTACTGCCAGGTAAGGTGGCTCATGCCTATAATCCCAGCATTCTGGGAGGCCAAGGTCCTTGGATTGCTTGAGCTCAGGAGTTCAAGACAGCCTGAGCAAGAGTGAGACCCCATTTTTGCAAAAAATAGAAAAACTAGCTGGGTGTGGTGATAGGTGCCTATAGTCCTGGCTACTAGGGAGACTGAGGCAGGAGGATCTTTTGAGCTCAGGAGTTTGAGGTTGCTGTGAGCTATGATGCTGTGGCACTCTACCCAGGTAATAGAGTGAGACTTTGTCTCAAAAAAAAAAATGTTTAAATGATCTTGAAAAACATGAAGCTGATCCATGCTAGACTCCCCACTGTCTTTTTATTTTCTATGTTCCTGGCTCATGAACTCTAAAACTCCAGGGAACAACATCCTGTGGTGGACTGTGATAAGCTGCCCCCTGCTGCCCGCAGTTCACTTGTGATGTTGGTGCCTATGTGTGTGTTCATAATGGCATGAAATACAGACACTTGTGTAAATGGACACAGGCACACATGTGTGTAATCACACTCTGGGTAGGTGCCTGAGAAAGCACGATTTTAGCTGTAAAAAGTAAGGTGCTCTCTCAGTTTTATTTCTCATCTTTATAGAGGTAAGAAATATAAAATGTGAGTATCACCAGTGAAAGAACCAAACAGAACTTCTCCCACTGCTAAGATTTAATCTCATGCAAAGGCCTGTTTCTGATCTAACCTGTTATTCACCGCCTGCTCTTTAATGCTATGGAGAACCAGATCCTAAGAGGAAACCAGATCCTAAGAGGAGGATGGGAAATAATCGGGATTAGCGCAGCTTCCCAGAGGCCTCCCAGCTCCGTCGTGCCCATGGTATCCGGCAGTGACATGGAGGCACCATTGCCACCAAGGGTACAAATGCACGCACGTCCATTTGACCTGCCACCCCAGCCCCTCCCTCCACGAGCCAGGCTTTTAAATCACGTGTGATAACTAAGCAACAGGCACAGCCTATGTTTCTGCCGAGGATGTACTGCTGATTGTCTCATTATTCAATCTTACAACAGCCCAACCACATAGGGCTCTGCACCATAAATTAAGTTCTCTGTGAGAACACTGTGAACTAACCTAA